CTCCGAGAGCCAGACCCGCAGCCACAGCAGCAGTGCCAGCTCGGGGGAGAGTCAGGACAGCAAGAAAAAGAAAAAGAAGAAGGAGAAGAAGAAGCACAAGAAGCATAAGAAACACAAGAAGCATAAGAAACACATGGGAAACGAAACGGAATTGGAGAAGAGCCAAAAACACAAACACAAGAAGAAAAAATCGAAGAAGAGCAAAGATAAAGAGAAAGATGACCAAAAAGTGAAATCTGTCACCACATAGAATGACAGATAATGAAAAAAAAAAAATGACTTAATTCCTAAGTCATCTGTATTAAATTTTGTTAAAATGTAAACGAATTCAAGCGTTGTAAATAATGACATGAAAGACCCTGTGCTGCACTTAAAATATTGCTGCTTGATTATTTGATTTTTACATCAGAGCTTTATAAAAGTGAACATTTTGTACAGAATTGTGAGTTGTGACCATGTAACATGAAAGGTTTTGCTGGGGCATCTTATTTTTAACCACCGTTAATTAGTTTGGGTGGAGTTTACTGTACTGTGAAGATTTTCACATTTGAGTTTTTTTTAATTGCCTGGCAGAAGAAGCTGGTATCAGTTATAAAATACCAGCAGAATGATTTGCAGAATACATTACAGCCCTGTTATGTCACTTTTTGATTACAATAAAAACTTTTCAGTAAACTATCCAATGGGATGAGATGCTTCCAGTGACAGCAAAGCAGTGATGGAAAAAATCTGCCCGTGGGAGCGTGCTGGGAGCTGAGGTGTATGACAAGTAACGTGTCTGCAGGTTCTGTGCTAGGTCTGGAAGGAGTTTGTGTCTTCTGAACAGACGTGCTGTGGGGAGGTACTGCCAGCAGGTGCACCCCTTTCACGGGCCAAGTAGATTTGGGTTTATAGTGTGGTATGTGGCCCCAAAATTGCAGCCACTCCTCACGGCTGGGCCCGGCTGCCACTCCTCATGGCTGGTCCTGGCTGGTTTAAAGTGACATTATACATGAAGCTGTCACATTTCAGCATCGTTCCAGCTTGCTGCTGGCACCTGCCAGCAAACGTTGACACATCTCCTTTATAGCTGCCTTGTAAGGTGTCTCTCTTCAGATTTGGGCTCCTCCCTCCCAGAAGGACCTCGAGGGGCTGGAGTGTGGCCAGAGAAGGGCAACGGAGCTGGGGAAGGGTCTAGAGCCCAAGTGTGGGGAGGAGCAGCTGAGGGAGCTGGGGGTGCTGAGCCTGGAGCAAAGGAGGCTCAGGGGAGACCTTCTGGCTCTGCACAGCTCCTGACAGGAGATGGGTGAAAACAGAGAGGAAGGTGTAAGGCACAGGGTAATGTCCTGTGTGGGTGGAGAGGAAGTTAGGGACTTGGGACACAAAAGGAATTCTAGTTAGCACTTGTTGCATTTTAAAAGTAAAGGCCAGGAAAACAGAGAGGAAGGTGTAAGGCACAGGGTAATGTCCTGTGTGGGTAGAGAGGAAGTTAGGGAACTTGGGACACAAAAGGGATTTTAGTTAGCACTTCTAATAATTGTTGCATTTTAAAAGTAAAGGCCAGGGAGGGAATGCTGGTGGCCATCGTTCGATGAGGGAAGCAGGGCTTGAAGCAGTAGTGGCAAATGTGCTTTTGCTTTGTCTTGCCAGAAAAGGTAGATTGTGACCAGCGTCAGGGAAACTTAGCTCAGTAAGTGCAAGGATTGTGGACTACAGAAATAAAATTAAACATTGAGGTAAAACTTCTGCTTGGGTAGTTGGGCTGCTAGTGACAGGCTTTGTTTGAGCTGAGGGACAGTGTGAGAAGAACAAACCTCGTACCTACCCTCAGAGGGGAAAAGAAGAATTGGAATGTGTTTACTTGTACTATCCATCCAGATTGGCTGGAATATTTAATAGTGTGTAAACTCACAGAAGATGATGAGATGAAGAGTGGTCATGATAAAACTGGAGAGCAGGTTGGATGCAGGGCCCTGTCTGCCAACGGTGGTTGTGAGAGCGGGGCGTGGAGGTGGCAGCTCTGCCCCCGGTGAGGACAGCCAGTGAGGACAGCCAGTGAGGACAGCCAGGGCTGTGCCATGCCAGGGGCTCCCACACACCCACGCCCACCTGGGCTTCTGGCAGAGTGGAGCTGAAGCTGCTGCCCATGGAGGTGTGTCCGTGGAGGTGGGGGTGGTGCCCGTGGGCTCTAACAAGGGCTGGGCTTGCCCAGGCAGTTGGGTGTCTGGGGTTGGTGCCCTCAGCCTGAGTCTCTCCATGTCCCTGCAGGGATGAGACAGAGCTGAGAGCACACGTGGGAGCAACCAGGATGCTCCATGGGCAGGGGTGAATCCTGGGCTTGGAGAAGGAAGCACTGGGCCTGAGGTGTGGGAAGGGAAGCTGGAGGCAGACACCCGTCCTGGTGTTCAGTGAGGGTGCAGAAGGGCTGGGCCACATTCGGCTGGGGCGGGAGGGCTGGGCCACCCTCGTCTGGTGCTGAGCAGCAGCCACGCGCGTGCCCGAGCTCAGCCTGGCACTGGGAGGCGAAGGGGTGTGAGCTGAATTCTTGAGAGCTTCTGCCAACTGCTTTTTCTGATGCCAAATGGGTTTTGTAGGTGTGGTTGTGAAGAGGGGTGACGGTTTTGGCAGTTGTTGCTGAGGGGAAGGAGCTGAAGAGGCGAAGGGCGGGTGCGGGGCGGTGCCTGGGAGCAGAGCGGCTCCTCCCCGAGCGCCGGGCAGGGAGCGGAGCCCGTCAAGAAGTGTCACCAGGTTGTTTCTCTGTTCTTGCCCAGCTCGCCGAGGGGCTGGGTTCGCAGAGCCCGGGTTTGTGTCGAGATGGGATGAGCTGAGGTTTGCTTGCTGCGTC